CTTCTGAGGTAGAAGCCAGGGATGGAACTGTGGAGAGGGTCAGCCCACTTCTTCGAAGACTGAGGAACGTTCTCGTGGGTGGCTATGGCAAAATCCAGAGCCGGCTCCTTTGGCGATACGAGTTTCTCTGACAGGAGTCTATAATGATAATATTTCTATTTCTGGCTGGCACGATCAATATTTTGTCCAGTTCTTTCAGCTTGAAATATTCTGAGCATGTTTGCTAACTCTGGGTCTTTGCAGTTACATTATAATGTTTATGTGGTCTTCTGGAGCTGTCTTTTGAAATGTCTTACTCATTTCCTTCATCATGTTACCATCCGCTTTAGCTATTCTACTCGGGAGAGAGACAGGACTGGATAATGTCATAAAAAGTTACCTTCCAGAAATTCACAGGAGCTGTTCTACCTTGCCCGATTGGGTCACTGTGAGTCAGCATTGACTCGATGGCCCTGAGTTTGGTTTAGTTAGCTAATCTACTAAGCCTTGTTCAAGAACAAGGTCCAGACTCTCTTCTGACACCCTCTTTGGTCCTTTTCTTTTTAGTGACCCCTTGCGCTCTTTGGGTACGATGTTCTTGATGTCACCCCACAACTCACCTGGTCAGAAGTGTTTGCGCCAAATCTGTTCCTCAGACAGTCTCCAAATGCAGGTAAGATATACTCATAGTGGTATTTTGGCTCTTGTGAACTAGTTTTCATTTTCTTCAACTTGAACTTGCATGTGAGCAATTAATGGTCTATCCTACAGTCGTCCCCTGGTCTTGTTTTGACTGTTGATTGTGAACTTCTCCATGGTCCTTTCCGACAGATGTAGTCAATTGTATTCCTGTGTACTCTGGCGCTATCCCTAGAGTGGCTGTTATGTTGTTGCAAGAAGTTGTTGGTCTTGTAAAATTCTATCAGCTTGGCTTTTATCACTAAAGCCATATTTTCCAACTACTGATCTTTCCTCTGTGTTTCCAATTTTCACAGTCTAATTACCAGTAACTATCAATGTATCTAGATGGCATGCTTGATCAATTTGAGACTGGAGAAACTGGTAGGACTCTTCTAGTTCTTAATCACTGACCATTGTAGGTCGTGCATGAACTTGAATAACGGTTCATCAACTGATCTCCTTGTCGTAGGTGTATAGACATGAGCCTATTACAGACAGCGTTGTGCTTCAAGATCTTAAAATGTTCTTTTTGACAATGCGCATTGTAAGCCATTTCATTGCCCTATTAAAAATGACCCATTCCACTCCATTTCTGCTCACGAATGCCTAAGTTAGCATTCTTTTTATGAATTCCATTTAATTTTTGATAACTTCTAGTGCATTTAGTTTTTTGAGTTTTGGTCCAAACTAAGGGGCTTATCTTCTGGCACTAAATCACACAATCTTCCACTGCAATTCCTGCGGTTTTCAGGGGCTAGCTCCTCCAACATGGACCCCATCTTCCTTTGTCTTAGACTGCTCTTAGTCTAGGGAGGAAAACAAAAAGCTCACTGCCATCCACTCAGTTCCAGCTCATGGTGACCCCACAGGACAGACTAGAACCATCCTTGTGGTTTTGGGACAGTAACTTAGAAAACCATGGAGAAGCTGGTGATTTTGAACTACTGGCCTTGCAATTAGGAGCCTGACTCCTAGCCTACTAAGCCCGCCAGGGCTCCTCCTTAGTCTGGAAGCTCCCCTGAAATCTGTTCACTATGGGTGACTCTGCTTGCATTTAAAATACCAGTGGCATAGCTTCAGCATCACAACAACGTGCAAGCCACCCTAGTACTGAGAGAGGATGGTTGAACTAGTGCTGTTGGCGCCCTCACAGAACCGTGTCAGGCATGCCATTGTGAGTAGACTTTAGGAGATCCATGACTGGTACTATGGAAAGAACCCAGCAGTGGGTTTGGTAGGTCCAGGGCCAACTCTCTCGGCGATGGGAGTATCTCTGATAGTAGCCAGGACCAATAGTTTTTTTGTTTTTCTTTCCTGGTTAGCAGAATTTAGAAAATGTATGCAGTAAGCAGAATTTAGGAGATATTTTCAAATCATGTTATTTATTTTTGAAGCAAGTGCTAGTCTGTGTCCATGTATTTGAATGATTTCCTTGTTCTTCCTATTAATTTATAAACTTGTAGCCTGGGGCTCAGAGAAGATTTTTGTATTATTTCAACGTGTCTTAAGCTATTGAGGCTTGCTTCGCCTGAGATATGGTCTGCTCTGGAGAATTATCTGCATAGAGGAAGTCTGTTTACCCTGGCTGTGAATGGAGTTTTCTGGATATGTCTACGACAACAAGTTGGTTGATGGTTACTTAAGATCGCCAATATGTTTGTAAGTTTCTTTCCAGTAGTCTGGGCTTCATCGGAGGTGATTTGATAGCATCTACAATTTGGGGTAATAGCTGTTTCCTGTCTCAATGCTGTAGGAGTTTTATAGAGTTCAGAATTCTGGCATTGGGTGCATAAATGTTGATTATGCCTGTCTTCTTGGTGAACTGACCCTTTGGCCTTTACATAATGTCCTTCCTTGGCTCTTATGGGGAAAGGCAGGGCTTTCTACCCCTGTAAAGCGTTAGTCTCAGAAACTCAAAGGCAATTCCACCCTGTCCTGTCGGGTCGTTATGCGTCCCCATGGACTTGAGCACAGTGAGTGTGGTTTGGTGGATGCCTGTGTGGTGGAGTTTGCTTTGTCAGTGATCCATATCACCATTTCTGCTGTTCTTTGGTTATTCTTTGCTTGACACATTTTTTTTCCATCTTTTGATTTTTTTTAAATTTGTCTTTATGTGTAAGGTGTGTGTCTTGTAGAAAACATTGGGTGTGTTTTGATTTTTATACCCCTCGGTCACACATTGTCTCTTGACTGATGCATTTAAGCCATTACTCTCAGTGTTATTATTAATAGTTTAGAATTTGCTGCTGTCATTTTGTTATGCTTTTGGGGGGGGGGAGTGGGGGGTGTTGATGGTTTCTTTGCTTAATTTTTTGTGTGTGTGCTGAGTTGTTTATGGGTTTTTTTTAATTTTCTTATTGTTGATTTTGTGGTTATTGGACCCTTTCTGGTTTTTAAGAATTTGGATGAGTATATTTTAAAACTTTTTTGTGGTTACTCTGAGATTTGCTTTTATCTCGCTCAATTTAAAACAGCCTTTTTATTCATTCATTTATTTATTTTTCTGTTCCCTTTATGGAAATTCTATGACTAAACCATTTATTCCCATTCTTTGTTTTAATGCTGCTGGTCTTTACAAATTGATCTCCTGGCCTCCCTGTTTCCAGTTTGGAGCCTTGACTTTGATTTCGACATTGCCCTGCCTGGCGCGGTACCGGGTGGTGCTGTCGTGTGTTCAGATCGCACTCAGGGTTGTTCAGTGGCATCAGCTCTCGGTGTCTGAAGGATGACGCCTTTGAACAGTTCCTGTTGGATTGGTGGATCTGGTTTTTACAAATTCTCTTCATTTCTATTTATCTGGAAGTGTTCTAGTTTGGCCACAGTCGTTGAAAGACAGTTCTGATGGGTCTGTGATTTAGGGCTGGCAATTCTTTTCTTTCAGAGTTTTATATATTTCACCCATTTTATATACACACACACACACACACACACACACACACACACACACACACACACATATATTACAACTGAGAAACGAGAGCTTGGTGTTACTGGAGGCCCTTTGCATGGGCTATTTCATTTTTCTCCAAAGGTGCTGTCAGCATTCTTGGTCTTTGGTTTGGGAAGGTTGGTGACTTTCTTTGGTCTTGTATGGAGCTCTTTGAGTTTCTTCAGTTAGTGCTGACTCATATCGACCACATATGTGTACAGCAGAACAAAACCCTGCCAGATTGCAAGCCCTCCTCACAACTGTTCTCCTCTTTGAGCCCCGTCTTGGCAGCCACTGTGTCCACCCATCCTGTGGAGGAGCTTCCCTTTCTCGCTGGCCCTCTACTGTACCACGTATGATGTCCCTCTCCAGGGACTGGTCTTTTTTGATAACAGTCCAAAGTGTGTGAGGCAGAATCTCACCATCCTCACTTCAAAGGCAGTACATCTTCCAAGACAATATGTGTTTGCTCTTGTGAAGTCTACGGTACTTCAAATAGTCTTTCCTGCACCATAATTCAAATGCATCCATTTTTCACCAATTGTATGCATTGTCCAACTCTCACATATATATGAAGTGATTGCACATACCATGGCTTGTGCTTGGCCTACCGTAGTTCTCAAAGTAATGTACTTGTTCTTCAGCGCTTTAAAGAGATCTTGTGCAGCAGATTTACCCTGCTACAATTACGGATAGGTGTGTGCAGCTGTTTTTCTCATTTTGAGTCATGTACTGACATGCTCCGGGATGTTTTACCCTGCCCGTGGTGTCCTGGTCAACAAGCGCTGCCTTAGAGAGGGTTGCTCTTAGTCATGTTTTTAAGTGTCTTCTGACCTGAAGGGCGCATCTCCCAGTATTATATCTGACAATTTCATTCTGCTAGCCAGGCCATTTTCAGCATCTGGCAATGGTCCTCTGCCACTTAAAAGGTTTCATTGGGTAACTCCTCAGAAGTGGCCCGCCGATGCCTTCTGAGGAGTCTGTTCTTCGTCTGGAAGCTATGGCATCATTGGGGTGGTTTTATACCATTCAACGTCTACTTCTTTCGCTACCATTTCCTTCTCCTTCTTTTCCCCTCCCCTCCCTTTTCCTTCCTCTTCCTCTTCCTCTTTCCACTTCCCTCTCCTCTCTATTGCCCTCCTCCTTCTCCTCTTTATCTTTTCATCTGGTGGCTCAGGGTTCCGTATCTGTTTGATTTATGCTCTCAGGTCTTGGCTGTAGCGGGACAGCATGGCGTGTCTGACTAAGCTGTCATCATAAGGGACACTCCTTCAGTCTCGAGTCTTGAGACTGGAAACCAAGCAAACACCGAGGTCTTCTCCACACTATGAGTCCCATGGTACCTCTGCCTGGGAATCGTGACTTGGGGTCTCAGCTTCTTTCCCCACCCTGTAAACCTGCTTGAAATCCCCACTTGCAAATTTAAAAGATTATATTTTTTAACCAAATGCTTACAAGCGCTATTCTGACTTAACAAACCATAAAATTGTATCCATTACAAAGATTGACCCAGGAGATGGATACATTTCAGAAGTCGTGGCATCCCTTCTAAGCAGCACCTGAGGACACATTTTAATAATGTTCCTTGCTCTCTAAATTTGGTGCCTGTCTTTAATGGCTTGCATAATGACTGGCCTAAGCCATCTGTACTCAAGTGAATTCCAAAGTATTTCAGGGAAGTAGGCAATCAAATTGACCAATTTAAGAGATGTGAAGGGGCATTATTGATTTTTTTTAAATGCTATTTTCAAGGATTTTCTGACAGTTTTAGTGGTGGTTGGGAGAATGTCAAATGTAGCCTTTAGTGAAAAACAAATTATATGGGAGAAACCAGTCATGGTTTCTGGTTCCCAAACTTAATCCTCCGCAGTGTTTTCTTCTTCATCCCCCGTTACATGGGAAAAGTTTACTTACAGAGAAAACTGCATGCACACACCACTTCTTCCCCCAGTATACCCCTTACGTTATGTGGCAGACACATTTCTGTCATAATTAGTAGCTCTATGAAGTCAGTAAGCAATGCCGGCTTTGATTCGCTACAGAGACTTTGGGAGTCAACACTCCTGCTGTTCTTTCAGTTTCAGTCTTTCGTTACTGAAGTGCAATTCATGCCCCAAACTAGAATATTGAAATGAGCAGGCCCAGGGCAAAGCGAAAATGCTGACTTTCCAAATCGTGTTATACAGCCGCCATATTTTTTATAATGTTTCAGAGATCCATAGAGAATTTCATCTAATCATTGAAGCCAAATATTATTTATTAGGTATTTATATATAGCTACAGTAACAATACATACTGCTAAACATGACTTACGTGGCATTACTAGTATAAGTCAAGGGTGGGAGATGGGTCATACGTGATTCTTACACTCAGTGTGTTCGCCACAGGAATGTTTAAATGACAACCTCTACTATAGCTCCTTGGTCTATACCTATTTATAGTTTTAATATCTTCAGAGTAAGGCCCCTACCATGATAAAAAATCTCTACTCATAATTCCCATGCAGTGTGAGTGGAGCACCAGGAGGCATATCAATATTTAATGGCCTTCGTATATATTAAGCTTTTTTCCCCCCAGGTACGTTCAAGAAAAGCCTTTCTTGTAAAATTAAGAATTTCAGAAGAGAAATATGGAATACCATATCCTCTAAGATAAAAGGAATTCTTCTGGATAACCTGGTTTAGCTAAAGAATAATATATTTTGAGTCTTTCCATGGCTCCCTTATACTTGAAGCTCAGAAGTAGTTCTGAAAGTTGGTGGCATGGCAGGTTAAGCATTGGGCTGCTAACTGAAAGTTCGGTGGTTCAAACCCATCAGCCACACCAGGGCCGAAAGACGAATGAGTTCGTTTGCTTCTGTAACTATTGAAGCATGAGAAACTCTTTTAGGCAGTTCGACTCTGTCCTATGGAGCAGACAGGGTTGCTATGAGTCGGAATCGACTAGATAGCGGTAGTCCTAGTGGTGGATTATACTGTTCTTTCTAAAAAACGATGGAGAGACAGCTCAGTTAGCCCCTTGAATTGTACCATCATGTTCTGAATACATGAGGGGGCTTCAGAAAGTTTTTACAAAAATTAAAAGTTTATAAAATTCCCCATGAACTTTTGGAAGTCCCCTCATATATCTTCCCTATGATGTTGTTTATTATAAAATAAGGTACAATTTTTAAAAGTAAACTTTAAATTGGAATATGATGAGGTGTCCAGGAAAGTTCCAATGATAATACAGACGTTCTCCTCACCATTACCCAAACTCCCCAAAGCTACCATCTTACACTTTATTTTGTCAACACTAAGAAACAGATTGAGGCGTGTAGGGGGTTGGGAAAGAAAGAAAGAAAGGGAGATTGGAATTTTAGTATTAACTAATGGCCAGACTCTTTGGATTCTGCCTGGTTTGTTAGTTTGTTTTAATTTTCGTTTTCTGTTCTAGGATCTAATTCAGGAATCACCTCGGATGTGTTGACACGTCTCCTTAGTTTCCTCTGACCTGAGACAACTTCCTGGTCTTGAAGAGAACTTCCAGGTATCATGTAGAATGCCCCCCCCCCCCCCCTCCACCCACCCCCACCCCCGCCCAATATGGTATATTGCTGTTTGGTGCCATCGACTTGGTTCTGATGCAAAGTAACCCAGTGTACGACAGAACAGAACACTGCCCGGTTCTGCGCCATCGTCACAACTGTTGTTATGTTTGAGCCCATTGCTGCAGCCACTGTGTCCATCTGTCTTGTCAAGGGTCTTCCACTTTTTCTCCGCCCTTCTACTTTATCAAACATGATGCCCTACTCCGGGGCCTGGTCTCTCCTGGTAACATGTCCAGGGCACGTGAGTTGAAGCCTCTCTTTGCCTCTAAGAAACATTCCGGTTGTACTTTTTCTAAGGCAGGTGTGTTGCTTCTTTTGGCAGTTTGCGGTACTTGTGATATTCTTCGCCAACACCAGAGTTCAAGTGTATCAACTGATCTTCAGTCTTCCTTATTCAATGTCCAATTTTCACATGCATAGGAGGCAACTGAAATACCCTGGTTTGTAACAGGTGCACCATTGTCCTCAAATTAACATCCTTGCTTCTCATGACTCTTAGGCCACAGATTGACCTAAACAACACATCTTTTGATCTCTCAACTGCTGCTTCCATGAGCATTAATTGTGGATCCAAGAAAGACAAAATACTTGACAACTTCAACCTTTTCTTACCACAATACTCCCTATTGCTACAGTTGTGAGAATTTTGGTCTTTTTTACATTGAGTGGTAATCCATGCAGAAGACTGCAATCCTTGACCTTCATCGGCAAGTGTTTCAAGTCCCCCTCCTTTTCAGCAAGCGAAGTTGTGTCATCTGTTTTACCACAGGTTGTTAATAAGCCTTCCTCCAATTTTTATACCATACTCTTCTTTATATAATTCAGCTTCTCTGATTATTTGCTCAGCATACAGATTGAAAAAGTATGCTGAGAGTATAAAACCTTGATGCACACCTATTCTGATTTTAAACCATGTACTATCCCCTTGCTCTGGTCATGCAAGTCTCTTCAAAACCATGTACAGGTTTCTCATGAGCACAATTAAGTGTTCTGTAATTCCCATGATTCTCAAGATATTCATAGTTCGTTATGATCCAGTGAAATGCTTTAGCATAGTCAATAAAACACAAGTAAACAACTTTCTGCTACCCTCTGCTTCCAGCCAAGATCGATCTGACATTAACAATGATATGCCTTACTCCATGTCCTCTTCTGAATCCAGCCTGGATTTCTGGCAGCTCCCTGTCTGTGGGCCGCTGTAACAGTTGTTGGATGATCTGCAGCAAAATTTCACATGCATGCGATATTAATGATACTCTCATTTGAGCAGTCTGTTGGTCCTGTCTTTGGAATAGATACAAATAGGGGTCTCTTCCAGTCAGTTGTCCAAGTCGCTGTCTTCCAAATGTCTTGGCACAGACAAGTGGGTGCTTCCAGTGCTTCTTCAGCTCTTGGAAACATTTCCATTGGAACAAGCCATGTGCTAACCTAAAGGTCGGTGTTTAAACACACCAGCTGCTCTTGTGGGAGGAAAATCTATCATTCTACTTTCCATAAAGCCTTGGAAATCCAATGGATGCCTTCTACTCTGTCCTTTAGGGTGGCTAATAGTTGGGATCACCTTGAATATATAGAGGGTTTTGTTTGGGGTTTTAGTGCAAGAAACAGTTTGAAAATCAAGTCACAGTGACTGTGATCAAGCATTTTTTTTTTTTGGCCAGTAGAAGTTTATTCAGTCATTTTAAAGTGAAGGAAAGTTACACAGCACTAGGAAGGGCAAGTAGGAGTTGCCTGTAAGTCAGATGGTTGTACCCAGTGGACTTGCTGTAAAAGAGAACCCTGTCCTCTTCATAATTTCATGTAAATCTAAAATCGTTGTCAAAATACAGCTTATTAGGGCGGAAAACAGATCAGCCAAGAACATGGTTAGTTGGAAAACAAACTCTGAAGGTGAGCTGCCATTTTCTCCTTTGGCTTGGTCACCTCTGCATCCGTACACCCGTCAGCAGATTGCATGGACCTGACTGACGTGAGATGATTAATAAGCAGATACATCCTAGCGGGGCCCTCTCTAAGTTGGAAAGGCTTATCCAGAGAATCGACACAATTCTCTTAATAGAAATAGAATCAACTCTGCTCATTTGTTCATTCGTTTGTTTTTCAGAGTGTTGGAGTGATATGGAAACACATACCAAGACAGTGGTGTTTGGTGAAGTGGAGTGGAAGGCAGCCCTGCCTCCTCACTGCCAGGAAGCACTTCAGAACAGCCTGAAAATAAGAGGGAAAAAGGAGAAAATTCTCCTGGAGTTGGCATAAGACACCAGAGAGTGTCCCTTAGCTCAGGGGTGCCTGGGAGCAGAACTGAGATTCTTGCAATTATGAACATGCTGCCAAGTAAAAGTGCTATTTCTAAGTGAGGAGCACAATTCCTCGCAGGAATAATTACAGTAACTTTTTTTCTTACTAAATATTTCAACTCTCCGTGGCTGGGAGACTTGATGCAATCCAGAGGGACTACAATGGCTGATTTCATGGAGCCAGCTGGTCTAAGAGTCTGAATTCCATTTCTAGGAATGCACTCAAAGCCTGGAATGTTCACAAAACCTGGTATCTCTTAACTGGTGTCCAGGTTTAAAAAGGTAGTCCGTTCTGCTTCCTGCCTATGGTAATTTCATTATTTTAAGATAGATAAGGGCATATGGTTGAGTTTAGCCTGTCAATCAGGTCACAGTCTGGTGTGCCTCCTTGTGGGTGTGGCCTTCTCATAAGGGGGGTCCTAGGAACCTCCCCTTCTCTCTCTGCCTTCCCCTTCCTGCTGGCTGACCCTGATTGCTGCCAGAACCACCGCCATTGGATCCACATGACTTTGCACCCACCGGCCTGTGATCTTCCTGCATTCTGCATCATTGCATGTGACCGTGTGAGTCTGAAGAGGGACTTACGGACTAGTATTGGACTTATGGGCTTGAGTTGGACTGGGCTGGGATGTTTTCCTGATATATAGCTGCTACTTGACCTCAAGCGCTTTCCTACACATACAGGTTTCACTGAATTTGTCAAGTCAACCCGGCCTACCATACTGGCCCTCATGTATACCTTCTCCTGAGGGGGCTAGGAGGGGGTGGCGCTGGTGTCATGGTGGAGGGTAGGGCCTGGATCCCTGAATCTGAAGATGGCTCCGAGGGGGGCTGGGAATTGGGAGGTGGGCTGGGAAGTGATGTCTCCTTTGTTTCCTTTCTTCCTCAGGGATTTAGCGCGTCGGTGTGGCCTCCATCTGTGCTGCCCCTGGACTGCCTTCCGTGTTTTAGCCTCTGAGCTTCCTCGCTGAATCACTTGGGGCCTGAGCCTGCGCACAAACTAGAATCTGCATTTGTAACCCTCTATCTTCCCTTTCTCTTTCCCTTCCACTTGAAATGGTAAGAAATATGTCCAGTTGGCACCGTGGGCCCTCTCCCCAGCCTTCTCCCATCTGCCTCTGATGTTGGTGATGGAGAAGACCATGACCACGAGGGCAGCTTGGGTGTGCTGGAGTGCAGCCCCCAGCCCATTGCCCAAGGCTGGGAAAGAAGCAGAACACTATAGGAAGACACCCCAGCCAGCATCCTCTGCCCACCCAACCCCTCCCTCCTTCCTTTTTTGACATTGCCTAGGATTCCAAGGAGAGGAAGAGGGAAAAACCTGGTTTGGGCAAGTAGTCATCCTGTCCAGTGTATTGGACAGGAATCTGTGATGTTGTGGAAGGCTCTCAGAGCTGCCACCAGGCTCCGTGTGCCAGGCTCTACCTCCTGACAGCCACTCTTTAATCATAGCATGAACCCTTAACCCAAAGGTCCCCCCAACAGCTCTCGTCTCTACTGATGCCTGAGAACAAAGCGAGCAGTCGCCTCGGCTGGGAATCCAGCACTGCACATGCGCACAGACTCTCAGGTACTGGAATCCAGCACTGCACATGCGCACAGACTCTCAGGTACTGGAATCCAGCCCTGCACATGCGCACAGACTCTCAGGTACTGGAATCCAGCACTGCACTTGCGCACAGACTCTCAGGTACTGGAATCCAGCACTGCACATGCGCAGACTCTCAGGTACTGGAAGTACTGGCTTCCTGCCGTCCTGTAACTTCAAGGCTTTTTACCACTGCCATTTTTCTTACTGCGAATAAGCCTTTAAATGACTCCCGTTAAATGACTCGAGTAGAAGGGCCGTTTTACATGTTGTTGCTTTCACAAGCTAAATTGTTTGTACTCTTATTTTAATAAGCACACCTCTCTATTTCTTTTGCCTAACGTCTCACTTCTCTGATTTGACTCATACCCTACTTTTCTATAAATAGCTCCTTATAATCAAGCGCGAAAGGCAGCTAAAGGGAAAGATCCTGTTTGATGCTATTTTCGTAAAAATGGCAAGCGTTATTTTAGAATCACATATAACAGAGGCTGCCTGCTCTCTTTTATCTTTACAGCTAAAAATACATGATCCGTGTAGACGCGACTGATGGAGAGTTTTGACAAACCGGTGGAGAGGCCGAGAGGTGGAACGGGTTGATAAATCACTTGATTTCCTAAGGGATTCCAGTGGCCTCCCAAAGGAGAGCAACGTGAAAACTCTTATTTGCAACTCAAAGCTCCTTGCACAATTCCTGGCCTCACCTCATTCAGCAGCGATGGCTGACAATACTTGGTAAAGGAACAAGACCGCTTCATAACAAGCCTTTATTTTCATTTCTTTCGACACATTTTTTTTAAAACTTCTTCGGGGTCTCTCACATTTCTTCCCAGCTTTGGGCTTTGGGTCAAGGGGAGCAGTAGGATTCCCTGGAGTCTTGGTGAGAATGGACAAATACACGAGGGGCAGCAGAGGCTAAAGTGACTGGCAGAGCATATGCAAAAAAACGATTTCTATTGCTCACAGTCGATTCAAGAATGTGGCTGAGACTGGAACACAGTATGGAAGGACAGACATGTCTAACAGAAGAGGGTCCACACCTGGAGGGGAACTCACCTGGGGCAGCATGCGTAGGAAGAGTCGATGTGACAGCAGCTGAGGTTAACTGGTTTACCTGGAGGTCGCAACTCAACACTAGTCTCTTGGCCATTTTCCCAGCGCAAGCCCCACACCTGTGCCCACAGGACCATGCGTGAGCAATGTAAAGCTCCAAGCGAAACCCATCCTTCCCATGACCCACTTCTCCAAGAAGCAGAGCCCATTGCGGTAGGGGTGTATGAGCTGGACAGGCATTGGACACAGGGTATCTATCCAGCCATGGAAGGTGGACTGGGACAGGCACCCCTCTGCCCTCACAGAGACCCTCTGAATTTCAGAGAACTTCCCTATGTAAAGTCACTATCACCACAGTCTCCTAGTTCTTCAAATGGCATTTGGAGTAGCATTTAAATCGTGACTAGATGGACTATTGAAAGGTAGGTAGGGTTGTGTTGATGAGAGGGGAAATTCATTCTAAGTGGAGGGGGCAGTGCAAAATAGTCTTGAGGCGTGAAAGAAGTTGAGCACGTCCACGTCTGGAAAGGTAGCCAGTCTCGGTTGAGAAGACTGAGCTTCCAGGACAGTGCGACAATTCATCTTGGACATGTAAGTATGCTTCTAGTCATGTGGGCCTTAAGCTACCGAATAAGGTAAGAATCACCTGTTACTTTTAAGATATTTAAAAATAGGAGAGGTTAAAAAACACTAAAGTTTCCCGGGGCACTAGGGAGGAGCCCTGGTGGCATAGTGGTTATGCGTTGGGCTGCGGTCCACAAAGTTGGAAGTTCAAAACCACTGCTTGCTCTGCAAGAGAAAAGATGGGGCTTTGTACTCACATAAATAATGTCAGTCTCGGAAACTCACGGGGGGCAGTTCAACCCTGTCCATTAAGGTTACACGAGCTGGCATCATCTTGATAGCAAATGGGGGGTTTTGTTTTGAAGAGATTGTTGTCTTTTTCGTCTTCTCTATACTAGGAGTTCCTGGAGAAGGACATCATGCTTGGGAAAGTGGAGGGGCAGCGAAAAAGAGGAATGGCCATGGATTGACACAGCGGCTGCAGCAATGGGCTCTGGCACAGACAAGGCACCCTGATGTGCAGAGGGGCGCTGTGGGTTGGAGCCAACCTAACAACAGTAATTCCTAACGTGTTCCCTAGCCTGTGGATTTTGAAAGTTACTAATTGGAACGTTTTGAAAGAATCCATGACCAAATTTCGCTCCGTACATGCTGGTTATTAAACTTCCATCCCCTGCAGGAAAAAAGTGATTATATCCTTTCAGTGGAAATGGATGATTCACAGGAGCAGCAATCAAATGTATGTGGCTACATACAGACATATATACATACCTAGATCTGGAGCCCTGGTGGTGTCGTGGGCTGCCGATCGGTCTGTTAACTGTCCGGTCAGCTGTTGAACCACCAGCTGCTCTGAGGGAGAAAGCTGAGGCTGTCTGCCCCCACCAACATTTACAGTCTTGGAAACCCACACGGGCAGTCTGCCCTGTTCTATGGGGTTGCTAGGAATCGAAATCAACTGCAATGCAGTGAGTGAGTGATACGAGACACTAGACTGGCTACTCACCACCCAGAGATACCTTGGAAGAAAGGGTCACTTCCTGATACACTTTTGCAAAGACCACCACATTGAAAACCTATGGGGTGCAGTTCTATTCTGCAACTCCTGGGGGTCACTGGGAATCAGAAGTAACCATGGTGACTTTTTGTTTAGTTTGGGCTTTGGGTTGGTTTTTTTCTCAGACTCAAGAGAATCTACAATAGTACATGCCCCTTGGTTCTTGTTAGTCTCTTATGAGATACTGTTTTTTCTTATGTACTTTCCAGTGAAATAATTATGAAAGCCTTCATCTTAAAGAACATCGTAGGGTGGACTATTTATCCCCTTAGGCAAAGAAGACCAATTTGACAACTTTATTTGGGGGACTTCTTTCTGGTGGGTACTTTCTACCTGGATGTCGAAGCAGCAGCAGCAGCAGCTAGTAAATTCGGAATGTAAATTGCCAGGAAAATCTCCTCTTACGCCATTGAGCAAAATGCTACTGGGGGATGAGGTCATCCTAATTAATTTTAGACCAACCACCTAACCTGGTATTTCCTTGACTCGTGTCAAATGCTGTATTCATTTGGCCTTGTTTCATGGAACCAACTATTGTCTAAAATAATCACTGCAGCCTGAAAAGAACATGGGGAGAGTTTGGATTCTGTCTTGCAAATCTGGAAGGTGTGGAGGTATTTTAAGTAGCTTTGTTATTAGGAAATTATTTCATACACGCTGTGCAAAAAAAATTATTGGAAAATCCCCATGCATTTCCCTTCCCTTGGCTTCTCCAAGTGATAATAAAACATTGTCAAAAACAAGGCATGTGAGGATAGTGCACATTTCCGTGTGTGTGTGTGTGTGTGTGCGTGCGTGCGTGCGTGCGTGCGTGCGTGCGTGCGTGCGTGCGTGTGTGTGTGTGTGTGTGTGTGTGTGTGTGTGTACACACACGATGTGTTTGGGGGTGGGGGTAAGCTTTTAAGGAGGGTTTTTATCAAGGGAGTTTCCAAAGATAGTGGCAAGCAAGCTAATTAGACATCTATTGTTAACAATACTGACCTCAATTAGGTGAAGGATTCCTAATTAAATCGTTACAGGCTTTTGTGTTACAAGGTATTTGAATGCCTAAAAATTCTTCCCAAGTTTTTCACAATGATATCATATTA